GCCAATACGATTAAAACGTTTACTTTATAACAAGTTGATAACATTTTGCGATAAGCTTTATAAAAAAACTGTAATATAAACCATTGGTATTAATAGTGACGTTGTGGCCTGGTGGTTTACTACGCCGAATTATAACAACTAGTAGTGAGTTTAATTGGAATGAGTTGAAAATTTGGAATTGAAATTCAAATTTGTTTGATTTCAGTGTCTAATCTCACTATTCACATTCTCATCCCGAAACTCACCATGCAAGTTGCTTAGCGCCTGAAATAGTTAAGAATGTTGTATCCTTTAGTAATACTATAATATTATCAAAATCAAAATCAAAAATAGCTTTATTCATGTGGGTCCATCACAGACACTTATGACAATATACTTATTAAATACTAATTTAATTATTATATTAACATTATTTAATATCTTACATATAAAATTCTCGTGTCACAGTTTTCGTTCCCATACTCCTCCGAAACGGCTTGACCGATTCTTATGAAATTTTGTGAGCGTATTGAGTAGGTCTGAGAATTGGCCAACATCTATTTTTCATCCCCCTAAATGTTATGGGTAGTCCACCCCTAATTTTTTTTTTATTTTAAGGCAAAACAACGTTTGCCGGGACAGCTAGTTATAATTACACTAGTTACACACAAATATTAAATGAAATGTGGTTATTTTGTACAGAAACAATCTAACTGGACTAATTCCAACAAAATTAATATACTCCATCCTATTTCAATATTTAAGTTATTTTATTTAAATTTTTATTAAAGATGTACCTTTACATTTTATTTGTTTTGTATTGGGTGACACGCGCGCCATCGTCTGCATCACACTTATTACATTTATCATTAAACAGCCAGTCGACTTTTTAAAAAGTCTACCTGGGCAAAACTAATACTCGTATAAGATATAAATAAAATGCCCAACTTAATATTCGAACTTCGCTCTATTTTTGCAAAGTATTTTTTTTATGCATGACAATATAATGATGCACCGGCCTGCGCTAACGCTATACGCTGGGCATCAGTGGTGGATGATAAAATTAGCATGATCTCAGGTTAGTTAGCCCATTTTGGTAAATGGCAATTTACCACGATGGTTTCCCATCAGGTTAGTTAACCCATCTTGGGGCAATTTACCACGATGGTTTCCAGGGTGAACCGCGTGTAGGTCAACCTGACATGGTACATTGCTAGCAATGGGGTTATTAGTCTATTACTAACAATCCCCTTCCTGCTTAAAGTATTTGTCACCTCAAGTAATGCATTGAATTCCACTAACAGTAATATTTCTCCTGTCTTATTAATCGCTGCCACCCCACGAACTCATTAACTCATTTAACACGTGTTAACTAAAAAAACACGACGACAAATCCTACCGAGATACGAGACACAATTATTCTTATATGTTAAGAAGTAAGGTAGCCATATGTTATGAAATGTTAGGATATTTTAATAAACTTCTTAAATGAAAACATCTATTGTAACAAATATCTTCTTCTGTTTGAAAATAATTTCTCAAATCTTACCCCAGTAATAATTATTGGAAGAAGAAAGAGAGTCTTAAACTTTAAAGTTTTTCATTACATTATTTTTCATCATGACAACAAAATATTATGTATTATACGGACGTTTAACAAGAATCGATTGAACCGTTAAATATTTGGTTTGGAATATGTGTCTATAGCATCATTTTCTGAGCAAATATTTAACGGAGTCCTTGTCAAAAGGCGTAACTATAAAACTTACAACATAATTATAAGTTCGTTTTTATGATTTATTTTTAATCATCCCTTTATATTGTTTCCCTTTAACAGCTTACTTAGATCTACATTTGTCCGTAGACTATCTCCAAATGATGGTCACAATATCGTTCGAGGCGTGAATTGATAGCTGTCATTAATATGACGTAGGCATGATCTTTATTTGAAGTCAGCCGACCGCTTGAATACGGGTGGTGGATTGGTTTTAAATAGAGTGGCACTATCCCCATGGGAAAATATTTTTTAAGTAAAACTTCTATAAAGACAATATTAGTATGTTCAGTCTCGAAAAAGAGTTACCATCCGTTGGAATAGCATACAAGCTGATGGTCCACCTGATTTTAAATGGCATCGCTGTATAGATGAACATCACTACAGATATCACATCATCATGAGTCACCCAAGGTCCTCAGGCACTGCCAATTTGTAGGACCTCTGTAATTTCACTGTCACGTATCACTATTGAAGCAAAGCAAGCATGGCGACAGAAATGTGTGAGAAATATAACCCACGCATATTACTTTGTACCTTGGCAATTACAGCATAAGTATTTAAGTCCTGCCTTGAGTAACTCGACGAAAAAAATGGCGAGCAAAATCGATCTTCGTAGGTCGCAGTGTAGGTCTACACGCCTAAAATATCTAGTAATATGGGCTATTATTAGATAGAATTCCTTAATAAAAAGAGAAATGTCCTGTCTATCCGTCGTCTAGTAGGTGTCCTCAGGATAAAATGTGTTTATTTTTTTAAACAAGTTTGTGAGTTTTGATGTTCGAAGTAAACTCCGGTATTACAGATCCGATTTTCATAATTCTTTTTGTATTAGATAGCTCATTTATCGGCGAATGTTACACGCTATATAACATCACAATACGACCAATAGAAGCGGAGCTATAATGAAATATGTTACAAAACGGAGAAAATAAAGTTACGAGAATTCAACATACAAAAATGTGTACTCCTTAACAGTAAATCAGTTCAAAATGTTACTAGTTATTGCATAATACAGAACGTCTCCTCAATTAAACCGTTATGCAATGCTCTTGGAATTCGGCACCAAAAAAGGATATATTAGACCATTTAGTGCTACATGTAGTACTTCCGATGATATTTTAAAAAGATAACAAATAGATGAAAAATTATCATGTTTTAACACTTTTATGGTACTTTGTACTCGAAGGTTGGTCGATCAGAGGTCAGATGTTAGGTTAACATATATGGTAGATTTTAGCAAATTGATCATTAACATATACTTTATTTATATACTCTTTATTTCATCAGTTGTATTAAAGAATCATAATTAGCTGAGTAAGATAAAAAGCGGTCTTATCTCTTATGCAATCTCTTCCAGATAACCTTTGGGTAGAGGAGAAAAAACAAATGGTATATCCATGTTTATATAAAGTTAGACGAATTATAATTGTATATCAAAATTTTTTGTATTGATGATATTGGTACACCCTCTTGCGCTAACGGTATACGCTGGTGGTACACCAGTAGATGATGATAAAATAAAGACGAGGTCAGTTTAGTTGTCAGATCATGACCTTTTTTTAATCATTCATTTATCATGATGGTAACACAGGAATTTATCATGATGGTAATGTAATGTAAATTGGACTCTATTTTCCGCAATCAACCTCTCTTCTGTGCCTTTGTGCGTGTAGAGTCGAAACTACTAGAGTAGCCAGCTAAGCTCCTCCCAAAAGCGCAGAAGTGTCCTGGTGTCTTCTAACATGTACAGTCCACTTTTCTAACGATCACCTGTGCTAAAGGTTTATGCTGGGGAGACTCCAATGGAGAATAATAAGGTGAGCATGAGATCAGGTGTCGGTCATGTTAAATTCACCAAGAATTCAAAGGAGACCCACATGGAGGTGAAACTGACTAATTGGCCCCTTGTTAGCAATGTACCATTGCTAACAAGGGGCCAATTAGTCCACAAAACTAAAAATCCATCTCCTGCTAATGTGTTGAATATAATATAGGATGGACTTTATTTTTCATATTCAGATCACATTTGGACTGTTATGTATGCTTCTATATCCAGATAATTATGGTCCCCATAATCTCTGTTTTGTAATGCCTGTAAATTTTTTTTTTTAATACATTATTTGTTAATAAATTAAATTATTTAAATTCTATTCTATAATTGTCTTACTGACTTGAAGTTATAACATAACTTAAAGTTTCCACAATAATTTCTTATTTAATACAGTTAATTGGTTCTTAACATATTGAATGGGAATTTCACACAGTAACTATTTCATGGAAGTAAAACATTCTAAATAAACTATTTGATTATTGATATAGACAATGTAACTGTTATGAGTAAACTCGGCACTACTCAGTAAATTTTGGATATGATAAGGCAACTTAACTTAGTACCAGCCAACAAAGGTATAACATGAATGATTTTAAATAGTAAATAAAGGTTTATACTTGTCTTGATAGTTTAGAATAGATTGTATGAACAATGCTACTATATAATGTCGGTAGATACTATGCATTCATAGAAAATTATATAATAATTCCTTATTGCACACTAAACAAAAGTACTAAAAGGAGGCTCCATGAATGTGTTTAACAATAGACACTCTTATAGCTTAAAGCAATCTCTTACAGACAACCTCGCAGATAGCAGCTTCGGACAGTGAATAAGTTGTGCACTATACAAAAATAAAATACCAATACAAAATATTTAGAAACACAAAGTTACATTAATACAATCATAAGATTGTTTGCCATCCCAGTTAAGTCCACTCATGAATAAATATGAAATAACCAATTCACCTTTAGGAAATTAGACAGCAACCTTTTCTGCTTTCCGGTAGTAATATTTTCAGGAATATCTATACTGCGGGAGGCAATATAAATTTAAAAAAATAGGTTATTATTCTATAGGTTTATACTGAAAAATAATGCCAGTTTTTATAAAAGGATAAATCATGAAGTATACTACTCTGCTACTAGTAAATACATAGTATTTGTAGTCTAGTTTGTATTTCGAGTATCTTAAATCATTCGTGGTTTTGTAAGCACAACTCGTTAAACGTCAAATGCGGTGCTATTTATAAACAAGAACGGCGACTGCGCGATTTACGTTTTTCATGACATAACTAAAGGACTATATCCAGTTTTATAGGGGAAAAAATATACATTTGCTGTATTAGAGCATATATATACAGTTTTAAGTACATATTAATAGTAATAATATAAATAAATAACATTAAAGTACCTTTGCTTTGAGAGCGTAGACTGTGTTGATCTTTCCAAAGTTTTTTACAGTGTAGTACACTAATCCACCGGCGAATACACAAGCACATAATGAAACACTTTTGAAACTATTATTTTTTAAATTCACATTACTAAAACTACGCGTAAAAACTGAGGAATTTTGTAATTTTCTTATTAATTTACTAGGTGTACGACTTAACGTGGCCATGTTGGTAGAACAGCTGTTTGACATGTGCGAGCGAGAGATCAACACGGGATGGAGACAGATAGACTGTTAATGCGCATGCGTGCTTTTTAACCAACTCTAAAAATAAGAACAGAATAAAAGTTAAAAAATTGCAGTGGCATTTATTTACGTATTAATAATTCTAATGCGTTGAGTTAGAGAATTAAAGACATTTCATACAAATGGTATAAGAATGTTACTAAATAAACTGTCATTATATATCGTATACAAAGAAAAACATATTCCACTTCGGAAATATCACAAGGGGCGAGGGGGTGTACTAAGACATTACGTGTATTTATGTTTTCGTCAAGAGCACGATTTCTAATGAAAAGCAAAGTAGGTATAGTGTGACCTTGAATTTTCTAGAATAAAATTTGACTATACTTTATACATGTATATAAATAAAATATTCTAATAATTTTAAGATTCTTTCTACTAACTTTGATACTACTGAATGAACTAACGTACTTAAGGGGTTTTATGCAAATTAGTTTCTTTTTATTTTATATTATTGGCGGTACATTACTTATCACAGGAAAACCAAAGCATACATACATAATTCGATGAATTATGTACTGAAAACATAATAAAAATAATTCCAGTAATTTTGTAACATACACAAAAGCTATTTAGGTGGGTGTATAAATTTTCTTTAATTACCTAAATAAAAATAGTAACTACTTTGACTTATTGATTCAGGAGAAGCAAATTCTATATTGGCTAACACCGAATAATATTGTGTCAATTTATACCTACATTGTAATTAAATTACACAAGCTGTAACTTTAGATTGAAAACTGAATTTTAATTTTACCACAGATAAGATAACATTATTTAGGCAAATTGTGGTTGACTCAACTACAGATCTAGTATGGGGTATTTAGACTGACTTCTTCCTCATATAGTTGTCCTCACTGGTGCCGCACAGCGTCTATTACTCAATCTCTATTCAATTGGCGGGCACAGTAGTCTAGCGGTTAAGGACACCGCGTTACTTCCGATGGTCGCGGGTTCGATTCCTCGCGCGACACAAATATGATTGTTTGTGTCGGTCTGGATGTTTTCTATGTACGTATTTACGAAAAAAATCTATGTATTTGTATCAGTTATCTAGTACCCATAACACAAGTTTTAGCTAGTTTACCTTGGGTCTAGATGACGTTGTGTGAGTTGTGCTGAGATTATTATTATTATTATTAATTGCATCTGCGATTAGGAAAGTGAAGATAGGTCCATAGACCATTTGGATATTTTAGAGGATAGGTTTCATGACTGAAAGAGTCTATTTTTCTATTAGTAAATAACTATGATTGTTTTTAAAGTAGAAATAAAAATATTTAAAGAATAATATATTTATTTTTTGGAATATTCAAACTTATTACAATGTACTTACAAACTCACGGCCGTGGCGTCAAATTAAAAATAAGGTGAAGTGAATGTGAATGAATTGATATTGTTGATATAACATACCAAGTACCATATTATGATGTAATCAGTAGCTCATAGGCTATGGTAACCATTTACCATCAGATGGGCCGTCAGATACTTGTTTGTCACCACTGTAGTATATAAAAAAAGTAGTATTGATAACTAGTGGAAAGCCCCAATCTTGTTGAATTTTGTATATTTTACATTTTTAACATATCATTTTAGGACAATATAATTGAAACAGTGTTAAGAGTTTCTCATAGTATAATAGGTATGGCAGAATCCACTTTCCCTTTCTAACATTAATATAGATTTTTAATACCACTGGTTGTAATTATTAACAATTAAACTACAATCTAAGATGGTCAAGACTAGCAATATCTTCATTAGTTGTTAAAAATTTAAAACCTAATTTATTTCTTAATAATAAATCAAAGAGAAGGCTTTGTCAATAATTTATCAAGAGTACTGATAAACATTTATATTTCATTATTTATATTATTAACTGTGTCTCAACATGAATAATTTTATGGCAAATAAAGGTATTTACCTCTCTCGACATTTCGACTAGTTTGCAAATACCGTGGTGGTAAACCTTTATTTGTCATAAAATTATTTCCGTTAAGACCCAATTTATAATATAAATAATGTATATTGAACACAAAAGTTTAAAAATATACTCTATAGTCTATAGTGTTTATATTTCATTATAACTATTTTGCCAATTCCATTTTGTCTATTAAAACATAGTGATTACTTTCTTAGTAAATCACAGTCATTAGTCTATGACTAACTAGAAGGGACTGAAATAATTTTTTAACTTCTGAATGATGTGTACGGACTTACAACAGCAATAATTGGAATATTGTATCAAATAAATATAATGTACATTACCACAATACAGAGTTACTCCAAATACTTTTTTGAAATAAATAAGAGCCAATATTCTTCTCCCACCCCATAAAAAATTTAGAATACAGATGAAGAACTAAAATATTTAAAAGTTATAATTAGAATACAAATACATGTTTAGCCTAAGCCTGCTCTTCGATACTTTGGTTTATTTGATTTGGTATGTTGTCTTGCTCAATCACCTGCTCATCTTGTATATTATTTATTAAACTCGTTTCAGCTTCAGAATCTTGTATTGAATACATCAGAACTTTCTTTACCGAATTGGCATCATCGTACATGCCATACTCGGCTTGCCACAACATTGTCGTTATCAACTGCTGTAAATTACCACGGGTGTGTGGCGTTTTGAATTTTCTTAATTTATTCGCCACATAATCTCCAAACACAGTATACTCATCCCTATAACTTGTACCATCCATGACCACATGTCTCTTCTCATTCTTCGCTGGCCTGTATGGCACTTTCCTTGGTGGAGTTCGTACCTCCCTTTTTATTTTTTTATATAAAAGTTTTTTACGCTTCGGTTCGTATGTGGTCTGGTACTGGTCATCTTCTAACCACTCCTCATCGGGGTTGTTGATACCGGAACCTTCATGTAGCTGCCTCACTAAGTTAAAGGTAGCCTCCGACTCTTCATTTCTGTCATTATCAACATCTGATTCTTCCAGTACATCTATCTGCAATAATAAACTGTATTTAGTGATTGTTACTCTATTTCGTTGTGCTAAGATATCTTTCCGAGTGAGTGGTAGATTGAACAAAGAATAACTATTCATAAGTGCTTAAATTTAAATTCATTTTAATATAGAACATTACTATTTCTATTTCTTTTACACTTCTCAGATTTGGGTGGTAGTGTGAAAATGTACAAGTTAGATATCACTATGTGTACTTAAATGGGATATTGAAATAACAGCAAAAATTTTGTGACTATAGTAAAACAATACAAGCAGATCTGTGTATCTATTGTTAATAAGTCTTAAAATAACCACTGATTCAAAGCATATCCTATGTGGCGGGAAGTACTTTATAACTGGAGTCAGATTTTTCCATTCTGAGGCAAAGTAGCACAATATGAAACAGATTTATTTATAGGACATTTTATTTGCTACTTATTAACGTCAAATTTATTAAATCCTATTCATAATCGATGGTAGATTTTGTTTACTAACTAATTAATCATATATAAAATGTATTATGACATTATCAACATTTTATAACCTATACAGAAGATAAGTACCCTTTGTATTTCAATTTTTGGCATTCCTTCTTCTGACGAATCTCTTGGATTATCAACTGATATTGAATAACGTACATTTTTGTCTTTGTAGGCCGTCGAATATTTTTTCCGTTTTGGCGTAACCGTCGAATGATTGGATTCATCGTCCTCAATCCGAAAATTACTGTCGTCCAAAGTTTGATTTTGTGCCAATTCCCACTGTAGTGAATGTTTGTTTTTCAAATGTACTCGCAAGTTTGTTGTGTTACCGAAAAATTTATATTCAACATCGCACAATTTACACAACACCGCAATACATCTCTTATTGTCATTCTCAATACGATCGAAAAATCGCCACACGATCGACGAACACTTCTTCATAATGATCAAGTATCGATTATCACAGTATAACTTGATCAATCCCCCTGCATTTCTCTTTGTAGAACGATTTGACGCTTATCGAATCGACAACACGAGTTGATTTTATAACAAAATGGCGATCGAATGGTAGATGGACTAAACATCGAGCGAACTCGTACGAGCTGCGGAGCGAGTGCGACTTCACTCGATAACGCGATGACGTCTGAACGTAATATCAGATTATGAATAAATCGTCTATAATATATAATACCATCTCTATGCAGACACGATAAGATTGAAAATGCATTAATATAAAAATCTTACTTGTGTCTATTTGTCACGTTCGCACGTATCATAATATTAATTTAGCTGTCCCTTTTTTTTTTGTTACCGACATTATGAATAAAACTAAAATTGTATTATGATTCTAGCATAGAACACTGATTTAGGTTGTATAAATATAATCCAGTTCACTTGTATATATATACGCATATATACATATAGTACAAATTTGATAATATATATAAAAACTGTTCTGAACGCAACGCTAACAAACACGAATGGTGGGAACAACAAATAAAGCAATGAAACGTAATTCATATGAGTATACTTTATTAATAAATTAACTGAACTCTATTTGTCTTTTAATTGTTCACAATAATAAGTTTTGTTTGTAAATTCTCTCGCAGTAGTGGTAATTATTAGTTAGGTAAAATTATCTATGATGCATAGTGTTGCCAGCAGATAAATAAAAAATCCCTTTTTTTGAAACTAACCAATCCAGAGATTGTAGATTATTTTTGCTATATTATTATTTTAGGACGTCGGGGTTTGCATTTGGTTTGCTTTTGTTTTCCTTGCATATGTGGTGGATGGTGGTGGTGTGGTATTAAATGTTTTTATATCTTTGGATAAGTGAAACAAACAAACAAAATGATGTGATAGATTAGGTGTCCTAGTGGTTAAAACTCTCATGTTTTTGACTAGTCTTTTGCTCCCTTCGATCAACCCCTCGCCCAATTCAAATGGGGATCGAAATTACGGCGGCCTGAGCCGAGTTTCGAACCCCTAGTCCTCAGCATAAAGTCGTATCCGTCAGGCGGGAGTTGGCCTTCAGTCCCTCTATAAGTCTTTCTGCGGGTTTGGTCTACCATCTGCACTCAGCCCCCATCGTCCGGTGAAGCTGTAAAGGCCAACTGTCGCCAACAGTATTAGAGTAGTCCGAAAAAAGAGTTTAATAATCTTTGGTACAGGGACATTATCACCCTGGTACAAAATTTGTACGAGATATTGAGAAACTGTCATTTCTGAGGATTTTTTACTGTAGGCGCAATAATTGTATATTTTATTATGTTTCGAATTTTAGTACACTACAGAAGCTGTTCCATTTTTTAATTATCACTGCAATCCACAGCCGGACCGTAAAGCGTAAGGCACGCCACTGGCTGCGATCTTCAACCTATCTCTTCCAGTTGTTACCTGTAACCCTATGTCGTCGCTCCATCTGGCTGCAGGGCGACCTGCACGACGTTGGGGGGAAGGAGATTGATTGACAGTAATGTGGACTAATATCTATCAGTAGCCCCCATGTCAGGTTGGCCTCCACAGGTTCCCTTTGGAAATATAAAGTTTGGATAAATTCCTGGTGAAATTACCACGATGGGCAAACTGACCTGACAATGCTCATCTTATCCTCCGCCACTAGTGCCCCGCCAACGTAAACCATTAACGCAGGGGGGTGCATCATCCATTATTATCCATAAGACCTACGACACTACGTTTGCCAATTCGCGATCTCTCCACTTAAGAACACCTCTAATCCAGCGAGTAAGAGTTCTGCGACAGATATCAGCATGTTACTGCCACTGCATTTTTTTTAATAGGTATGTAATTTTCATAAAAAATATTACGACTGTTATCCTAGATTAGGTAGGCAGAGACATTGTCAACGTCAAGCGTGACGGTGAACGTAACACTTGTCATGCCCACAATTTGCGGGGTATATGAAATCAAATATGACGGGCTTGCCAACATCTCTCGATTTATGGACAGTATTTTTCATGTCTCACTCAAAAATGATTTAAAAAGCAATAAGTATTTTTCTTTGTTGGTTCGATTCCTCGCACGGTACAAACATTTGTATTCATGATTGTTTGTGTCGGTCTGGGTGCATAATTTGTATGTATATGGTATATGAAAAATAAAAATTTATATTGGTTGTCTAATACCCATAACACTAGCTTTGTTTAGCTTGGGACTAGTTCCATTATTATAATCACATGTTAAATAAAAACAATATAAATATATTTTTCATATATATATATATATAACGAATTTATTATTTTCATATTATTCTTATTAGGTTTAAATGAAATAAAACTAGGTTTGTTCTATATTTGTAGATTCATTTTATTTGTCAGTATATGAGGCTGTAAAAAATTATTGTCTAAAAGTTTCGATCAATCTTTTGGTGAAACTACGCAGGTAGGTAAAAATGTGATCAAATTCTACTTTAGAACCATTCAAGTATAGCTTACGACATCACATAACATTATACAAATTTTAATGTACACTGTAAATGCACTGTAAACACAAATGTCTCAAATATAATCATCCATTATTTATATTATTGTAAATGTATCGAAATTAATTTATAATACTGAATTGACTCATCTAGTCCATCTTGTATAAATATATATATATATAACTGTAACAGAGCAGGATTTTTATATTTAGTTTATTTAATCTTTTGATTACATTTTGACTGATTTGTTTACAAAATTATTTTGAATATTACGACAAACAGCTTAAGCAAAACCGTATATAATGATGCTTGTGCAGTATTTTTTTTACGTAAAATTAAATCTGCGCCATTTGAAACCATAGACAATGAAGTTTGTGCAGTAAGTGATTTTACACTTAAAATATGAAAATTCCACAAGTCACACACTTGAAAAATTTTGCTCAAGTTATTTGCTGGTACACAATTGTCGGATTTTACGAAAAACAAATAATAATAGCATTGAAAGTAAAGAAATGCTGCATTCGATCGGTAGGTAAAGCCAGGCGGGCTGATAGTTGTATGGCACATGTATAAATAAGATAAACTTACGATTCATATTTTTACACCGTCACTAGAGTGCTTCGCAAACTCAAATTATTACAAAATGATCGTTTGGTATAATTGTCGACATAGCCATTAGTATAGTTTCGAATAAGTTCTTTTCGTATAACATTAAAATGTTTGTTTATAATTCTAAGAGCTTCATTCCTTAATGCATGCTTGTCTTTAAAAAAAGATATTTAAAAAAAAATTTTTTTTTAATTTGAATTGTTTGATTACTATTCTTTTACATTCAGTTATTGCTATAAGATAAATAATATGAATTTGCTACCACTGCGCCTTTCTAAAAGCTTGCCTGTACCACTTTATTGGGGTAACCAAATTAGTGGTCAACATTGCCTATTGTCATTACAACTTATTTATAAAACTACAAAACTAGATACTGTAAAGGATCCACATTAACAATGCCAAAATACTGTTTCTACACTAACATAAAGATCGATTTGCATTAATTTAGTATAGAATAACGAGTCAAATCTATATATATCCGCGTTTCTAATAATTTATTGCACAAAAGAGACAAAAAATCTATACGCTTTTAAAATACTAAGTAATAGGTATATAGGAGTGCGTTGACCAATATTATGGATATTGGTTTCACTAAATGCTACTCGAGCGTCGATTTATTGTCGCTTTCGTTGAACAACTAAAATACATAAATACATACATAAATAATTTCTAAATAACATCCGTCTAACATACGTAGGTACATTCATAAAGCTTGCAGAATGAATATATTCACGAAACTCTTAGCCACATTGTCAGTGAATATAACTGGTCAGCGCTGTCGTAGTATTATTAAATATACATATGTAATAATTGTTATTTATAAATTATATAATGCATCACAGTGAGTATTTTATATTTGTTTTTATTAATAGCAATAAGCATAATAATAATTATACGAAAATTGCACCACTCTATGACAAAATTTCGCGCCACAGACAATTAAACTTGCACAGTAGGCGATGTATGCGTGTAATTATTTGTACTCGATAATTTGAAATAACTATGTAGATAAATATATTTATTAGAATGTGAAATCAAACATATTTTTGAATATAAATAGTTATATAATTAAATAAGTATTTCCGTATTTATTATGCAAAACTCTATTTTATTTTTACTAAAAGCGAATAGTGCCAATTTGATGGTTCAATTATGGTAAAAAAAATATGGTAACACATATTACATTTATAGATAATAGATTTTTTTAAATAATATGTTCAGATTATAGATAAAGAATAGTGTTGTCCTTTGTCAATAATAAAATTGTACCAAAGATATCATAGTTCGTAGAAATTTTAGTAAAATAATGTAACAGATACATAAAGAATACAGAGCAAATCTTCTTTTTGATAATTACTTGATCAGTGGAAATGGTTATTCAGTAACAATGTGACAAGAGCTCCTGTAACAATATATACGCACATATTAAAATGCGAGGGATATCGAATATGTAGAATGTAATCGTGTATACATCATATATCCAATCGAATATTTGCAAATGCATTCATACATTCCATACAAACTGCATACAGAGCACATATTTTTACCGAACGGACTTATATTTATAATACAAATATAATTGGCTCACTAAAAATAACAAGCGTATGAAATCCTACATATCTACATTCGGTTGGAACTAAAGGGAGAAGAGAATAAAAAAAAACATCAACTAAAACGTTAACAAAATACACTTTCTCTATGGAAAATAAATAAATTTACAAATTAGATACACGTTTTAAAACTACTTACTAATAGTCACTTCTCTGATGTTAGTTATTATCACTACTCCGTATTTGGACAATTTAGAGGCGAGTGGTCGAGATTTTAATGCATCGTTTACGCAATTTTTCTCTCCAGTTTTTACTTTTTTATTCTAGAGTCTTAACCATTGGAACGAAGACCACACGCCTCAATCTGACACCGTAGCATATACAGAAGCATGCCGTTACGCCGCATTATACTTTATCCTATCGTACCCTAGACCGAAACCAACATAAACTACATTACTCAGTCCAATTCTCAGTCATATTCTTATGAAATTACACCTCAACACGTTCAATCTAAGTACAAAAGCTTCCCAAATATCCAGATCGTGACAATCCAACGCATTCATATGCAAATTGATACATATTGGAGCTATAAAATATTTAAACTAATTTCGTTATTAATATTCGTGTTCACTACGGGCCTATCAAAGGAATTAAAGTGATAATTTCTTAATTTGAATATGCTCTTGAGAGGGCACTTTGTAAACTTGGAAAATTACGGGCGTTTAAGATTTTTGGGGACGATAAATGCTATTTCGTTTGTAACGGAACCGAAGTCTTCTATCGGATCCATTAACGAATCACTTAGACGTAATTAAATAGAAATCTTAGGAGACGATCAACAAATGGATTCGATACACTAATAACAAATATAGTGCCATCCGATATTATAGTCCATTTGGCTTTTATTGGGAATTAAAGAATCAAATAAAATGAAGACTGAACGGTACCGAAGCGATTGAATTGTCACGAACAGGAATGCTTCGCAAAATATCTAACACAGTTCCACCTTACCTATCGATAATCACAACTCATTTTATAAATTTCATTCGATAATTGATTATCGATTAATAAGTTAGCAATATCTACATTAATAATTTCATGATACAGTAACTAAGACAATTGGAATCTTGCCAATAAACCTATATTTTTAAAGCGAACTAGGAATATAAATTGAGATAGATGATTTCAGCAGCTTTGGTAGAATAATATAATTTCGTTAATTGCTTTATTTAAGGCTCAAGCGCCGTTTGTTCTTAACATGACTCGTAACAGTTGAGTATTTAAGTATCACAACAACAGAAGAAAAAAGTGAGTTTTCGCAACCGATCAAGAGGAAAAACGACCAAGTCACTGGAACCGCCACCCTTATAAGAGAGCAATGCAATGCTATGTCTTCGAGTGCTGATGCTTCGAGCTTGGCTCTCGTTCTATGCACTGTACAGGAATGATATAGAGATTCAAACGCGTGTAAGCGTGGAACGGTGTTAGTGAGACAGCGCAACGGCAGCCCCGACCGCGACTAAGGAGCGACTCAGGCGCGCCCGATCGCCTCCTGCGCGGTCGCTGAACGAAAAAACTCGACATCCGTCGTCGACATCGTCGACATAGTTGACTCGTCCCAGCTGACCTCGGTCGTCGTCGTCGTACCGTTCTCGTGTTTTCTCCGCGCCTTCGGATGTCGCTGTTTCTTTTTAGGATTGTTAGCTTTCTTGTGCTTACGTTTATGCCTCAGATTCTGCTTCTGTATTCGTTGCATGCAGTTTCTGTGTCTCGGTGGGGGCCTTTTCATCAGTTTTCCTCTGTGTCGTCGTGGTGGGCATTGTGTCGATTTGTGTCCATGTCCGTCCGATTTTCTAGTTAATGTCAGCGCATACGTCGACAGGTTCCCGAGCTGTCGACTCATCGGTATCTGCGTCCGCCTCGCCTTTCCTCGATTGTCTAGCGCCAAGAATGTCTTCTTCCCGTTTCGTATTCGCGAATATGTGTTATAATTGTTTTCTTCTAAATGCTCTTGGAACAAGCAGTCGTCCGAGAGATCCTTCTGAAACAATAGAGAGGGTAATGATTAGCAATTTTTAAATATACATCAAAAGCACAGTTCTTGGAAAATGGATTGAACAAAACCATAGTCAATGTAGTTAGTGCTGTACTCATTACAAGCACTTTTGAACAGTCATATTTTGATCCTACCACTCATTCGGAATGCAGATTCATCACAAGAAGAATGAGCAAGAAACTTGTGTGTTGCTCTTTGAATAGATGTCTTTTTTATATAATAATTACAGTATAACAAGTAAGAGGCATGCGATAATCAATATAGAAGTCGCTACGCAGTCATTAGTGTAATCAGGTAGTATTGTCAGTGCTATGGGTTTTAAGTTTTTCTATAAAAACATTATTGGCGTTAACGAATTCTTCAATTTTATAGTAAGCTTTTTTGCATTTAAATCTTTTTTCAGGCAGATTTATAACAGACTCTGGTATTTTGTTGTAAAACCTTACGCAATTGCCATAAAACGAATTACTAACTTTAGTTAAACGACATTTAGGTAAAATCAGTTTGTTATTGTTGCGTAAGTTTTTATTAGTGTAGTCACTAACTCTTTTGAAATTCTCTATATTCTTCCTGACATACATGATATTTTCAGAAATGTATTGAGAAGCAACGGTGAGGATATTTGATTTTTTAAAGCACTCTCGTAAAGACTCCCTGGAACCCATACTATAAATGGATAAATATTTTTTTGTCTAATAATATATGCCAAACCATATATATAACATAAAATATTAAATTGTATATATGATTACAATGTTTATGGTGTGATACTTCCCATTTAGCAATACAACACCACCCAGATGGCTCCGTTACATTTATAATAACCATGTATTTTCTCTCTCCAATGAATTGGCTATTTTCTTCATAAATATGTATAAGCGCCCGTAAGCTATACTAATGCATCTTAAATTGTCGCAAGAGTGAACATTAGCGATTGAACATTAAATTCAATCTGCGATGGGCAGTGTCGTACATCGGCTGAAAATTATAACCCGACTGATTTATGAAGACGGCAATTTGTTATCGTAACTAAATAACTAAGTACATTTATATCTAGGTGACTTAAACGAGGCTTGTGGATCTTGTTAGATTAGTAATAGTGTTTAAAACAAGTCAGAACAATGCAACGACAAACAGATAAAACGTAATTGCATTTATAAAGTCAAATCATTGTTTCAAGATGTTTGACAAAATCGGTCCAGTCATTTCAGAGATTAGCAAAAACAATCAGACGAACATTTTTTATTTTATTTTACTGCCGAATATACTTTCATATGCATTTATTGCAAAGTTGGTAATTGGAAAGTATAAACAGACACTAAAAACAAAACTAACTAACGCTTTAATTTATTTTATAGATTAGACGCGTAAGTATAATAAAACATTTACCAATACGATACGTTTGATACAGCGTCGGAATATCGGTAAATCGAAATAATATCACCACGGTAAATATCTGTAAACATCCGTGTGAAATAAATACATTTATTTATAGTACAAGTGTAAATCTTCTGTATAATGTCAAGTTTAATTTGCTAGAAGTTCACAAATAGAGCTAATTTATTATCACAGAATCAGAGATAGTGATCATGTTTGTGTCAACATTAAAATAGTTCACTAAAATTAATTAAGTTACCGCCATTATTAACACATTTTTGTTAAATCAGATCACGATATATGCCTATCGTAAATCTTAATTGCTGACAATTAATTTAAATATATAATGAAGTTAACACGGCTGTAATACCTTATAAGGGTACCAATGAATTAATGCGTGAAATATTCATAACATTTCTACGTATAGACAATGTTCAAAACAGTTTCAACATACTATTTAATCAATTATACTAATTACCAAATATATTGATGCAATATTTTACTGGGAGTACTGGGACTAATTTGGGATTGGATGGCGCTGTGTGTGTTGTCCTGAGATTATTATTCTTATAATATAAATTAGAGTACTGTATCATAGATATATCAACTGACCATAGACTATAGACGTATATAGATATATTTCGCAAGGATATGATATTTAATCTGCCGTACATGGTAGGTTATATTTAACGAGGATTTAAAGGACCACTAACATTCTAGCTACGATTGCATGCCCGCAGGAAATGCACTAATCGTTAGATGTTACCATTTGCTAAAAACATGGTTTAGCTCTGTTATAAATTAAAGCACGTAGCGGTAGTGTACTAGCCAAGTTCGAATTGAAACGTTGTAGCGAATAATCTATACAAATAAATAAACTGGACCGATTTTGATGGGACTTTCACTAGTAGATGCTAATATTATAAGGAGAAACTTAGAATCAACAAAAAAAAATAGTTAATATTTATGCGGACAGTGTCTTGGGTAAGAACTAGTCAAGAATATATTCAATTTAAAGCTGGGTAAAAATAGATATACTTAAATAATATCTATTACATATTATCAGTGATACAAAATTATTCAGTGATGAAACCTAACCATAATAAAATATATATATATGTATATATCATAAAATAATAAAAAAAGTGACTAGCAGTGCCCGCGGTTTCAGCCGCATGAAATTTATAACCCGTTATATATGAGCTATATTACTATAAAGTATTACTAAAATTCGTTTAGTAATTTTCACGTGAAGGATTAATAAACATCCATCCATCCATCCATCCATACTCACAAACTTTCGCGTTTACAATATTAGTAAGATATCAAATTGAATTGTTTTAACTTGGGCCTTGTATTACTACTTGTATTTAGTTGTGCGTGCCACCCGCAGAGTTATACGGACGGGTATATTCCCCACAGCCATTTTAAGCCAATTTTATTGTCAAAGGTATAATTTTTAGTTATATACATATAAAAAATGAGATACTTAGTATATATTATTTATATTTGGTTCATATAGATATATAAATTATGTGATTTTGTTAAGAAATCAGTCGTCGTATAAATACACCTATCCATCTATTTATCAATACTCACAAACTTTCTAGTTTATAGTATAATAATAATAAGAGGGGAGATGAGATTTATTTTTAAGTTTAAGAAATAATAATAAAAGCAAAAATCCAGCAAAAGATGAGAGAGTGAGATGATAGTGAGGTTAATAATAATGTTTAATTACCGATGTTTCTAAGGACTGTATTTTTAATATATTTTAATTTTAGTTTTAAGACAAACTACGGTCGTTGATGGTAAAGATATATATTTCAAATTGACAATAAAAATGGAACGAAACATAAGATATTTAAATATATATATAAAAAAATATAATTATCATATAAAAAGGTGCGTTATGCACAATAATAATATAATAATAATAACAGTCCTGTAAACAATATTTAAAAATACAATTGTGTAAGCATGTGACTTGGTGATATAAGTCCGTCCTTGTGATCACTATAAAATAACCGATATATGTATATTGTGAAACTGTGGAAATAATAATAAACTTTTATTAGCCAATCAAACACTTTTACATTTAATACCCAGTATGAATAAGATTATATTAATATGAATATAGAAAATAATAACCGTGGACAAGTCACACGGCGCCATCTAGTTCCAAACTAAGCAGAGCTTGTGTTAAATTAGAAATCAATTAGTAACTGATAGAATTACTTAAATACACATATATAAAAACCTAAAACAATGCAAACAATTTATACTTATGAATATTGTAGCGAACTTCTTGATAGGTTTTTTATACTACTTATAAACTTTATAATAATATTCTTTGACATATTCTTTATTGTTACTTTCTATTATATATCGCTGTCATACTAGTCGCATTTTATTTAATCTCCGTATTTTCCTCATTAAAACCCTCAGCACCTCTCACTCATCAGACACATTTGATACCTCCGCTTCAAATATAATATTTTAACTTATGATACGTTTGCACCGTGCGAGATATCAAACCCCCGTCCCTCGGAAGTAAACTTATGTGCTAAACCGATAGACAACCGAGGCCGTTAAAATAAATTAATAAAAAGGTTTTAATAATTATGTGTTGACAACAAAAAAATCATCAAAATCCGTTCTGTAGTTTTTGCGTGAAAGAGTAACAAACATCCATACATACTCACAAACTTTCGCGTTCATAATATCAGTAAGATTATAGCTAACACAGTAAAATAATCGTTGCATCACAGATAACTGTACCTTCTGTTAATCATAGAAGCCTTGATTACAAACGGAATGGAATGTCCGGTTTAACTGCGATTTTGTAAGATATACCAAGAAATTATGTTATAATATATTTTATAGTATATAATTACTCTGATATTTAACGCCTAATTACCTAGTTATCACTTGACTCAGAATTTAAACTACAGTTAATAATTGCAAATAATCGTTAAACACTACGTGAAACATAGGCAGTGGGTGGCGCGAAAAATAGAGGTAGGTATATATCCAGGTCGACCTTCACGCGGTCACCCTATAACAGTTAATAATCACAAATAATCGTTAAACGGTACGTGAAACATAGGCAGTGTTCGGGGCAAAGAATAGTAGTAAGTACTACTAGCTCCATTGCTAGAAATGTTAGGCCGACCTCCACCAGGTCAGCCCACAGTATTATTATAGAATGTAAATGTATTTGTATCCTTATTGATTTTTACTTAAATGTATTTTTAATATCTGTGTATACAAAAAGTTTAACTTAGAAAATAATTTAACAACGGTTGTTGAAGGCCTTCGAGTTTTACAATGATGTTACCGTAGTATTTAATTTTAATTATGTTTATCTTATCAAAAAAACCATTAGACCCCATTTCTAGTAATAGGTACAGGACCGTCTTTAGTGAAGTTGGTTCATAGCGTGGTGTGATGTGAATTGGGCGCGATAACAAATAGAGATCGATTTATTTGATACGAATTATCGATAAATCTGAATTTATTTATTAAACGAATCAAAATATGTTTATTCTTGTAGGTCTATTATGATTTATATATATGTCAAACCTACCGTCCGTTCGGAATGCTTT